GTCTTGGGTTTCCTCCAGTGACATACAATAGTCCTACTAGGGACGGATGTCGTCTTCCCCATCCGCATCATTGCATGTTACCTGACTTGAGAGCTATTTGTCATCTCCAGTGTTTGTCTGGATCCTGTCTCCAAATATTGTAATTCTTCTGTTCATATCATTCTGTTTTTACCCCTCCTTCCTGTTATCTTTTATTTCAGCCTCCCTGTCTTTAATCACTCCTTTTTCCTTATTGTTTTCTCCTTTTTTAGTTTTCTTTACATTTCTTTCTTTATTCTTATTTTCTCTTCCATTATCCTTCTTTTTTGTCTTACTCCATTTTCCTTAAACTCTTATTTCCCTAAGTTTTACTGATTCTTTTCTGTACCATCGTGTTATGTGCATCTAATTTTTCCCATTCCAAAGCAACACTAGTAATTTGAAAAAGCAGTGAATTCCCCACCAAATGTACCAGATACCAAACATAAAGTTTTCCTTTGCCTAGAAGGGTAGAGTGTGGAATTTAACCAGAGGATTGAGAACTGAATCTTACCTTCACAACATCCTTTTGGAGATTGTGCAAGTTTTATTAAACATTTCTTTTTATGTGTACATTTAGGAAAAGAAAAGAATGTTGAATGAAAGACTGACTAGATCATATGAATAGAACAGCTGGTAGGAAGTAATCCCTAAATGTCACCTATCATTTTTCTGTGTTTCTAATCTTCTGATCAGTGTAGTTCTCCCTAGTCCATGTGTATTATTTTAATTGTACAAATACAAATTCTTACCCCCACAGTAATTCCTTATCCATTGTACTTTGATCTGAATGAAATTACAATCACCTGAAAACAGGAGAAAATAAGTCAATCCTTAAATTGGTCTTTCTAATATGGAAAAAATCAAGTGATTTATTTTTCACTAACTTAGAGAAAGCATGACTCACTTGTTTGAAAGTTGATAATAGCACTGAGCTATATAAATCTTGTCTCCTTCATCCATTTATCATAGGCATAACTTTAGATAATTAGCATTTCTGACCCTGAGTTTCTTACACTTGTTACGAGTATTTTAGAAGAAAGTATTTTAGATTTGTTATGAGTATTTGTTATGCATTTTGTCATAGCCAAACCAAATGTAATTAGTCAACTCTAATCACATGAGTTGACTCAACTGATACAGTGACTGTGATTCAGTTATAATAGTCTTGCTTTGGCAACTCTAGTTTTACATTCATAGAGTCTGGAGAACAAAGTATTTCTCACACAAAGTCTACAGAAAGCAAACCTTATCCAAACGCTATGTAGCATTCTCAAGATTTGTCATAATATTTATTTCCCAATCTACAAAATGGACTCATCTATGATAGCAATATAAGATGTATCCTGAGCGGAAAAGTCATCTTTTGTAACCGGATCAACCTGATCCCATACTTGCTTGTATATAATTATCCAAATTTTCTTAATTGATTTTTTATAAATATAAGACATCTCTTTCTATTATCCTCACACATGCTTTATTCATTCTACCATCATTTTTACTTAATTCATCCTCAAAATGAAACTCAGCAAATAATATTTTAATACAAAGTTGATTTGTAATTTATGTCCTCAAGAATTTACCTTAACATGTGCACAAAGAGCATAGTTCAGCTCTTCAGTCACTTCTGTGTTATACACACAATCGATAATGTGTGTTTCACTCTATCACTTTGAAAGATTAGGACATCCTAGCACTTTCAAAAAATAATAGATAATCGGCCCTCCCTAGTGGCGCAGCGGGTTAAAGCACAGCACTGAGAATCTAAAGCCGCTTCCGCATGAGTTCGATTCCCGCCTGCCCCGCCTGCCCCGGAGGTGACCATATGGCGTGGCAGACCTCTCCTGACCCGCCCGCTGCTCCCCTCAGCAGTGTACTTCGTCGATCTGCCTGCTCTGCTCCTCACTCTGTCTCTGGTGAAGCCTCTCGCCGCCCCTGAGCCTCTGGCCTATACCCCAGTTCTGTATGCACAAATAAATAAATCTTAAAAAAATAATAATAATAGATAATATTTCTATGACATAAATGTCACGGTTCATGAAATTAAGAATGAATTTTAGGTCAAAATAGGTAAAAATTAACCAAGAGGGCAAGTAAATCAAATGTCTTGTGTTGGGCGTTTCACAGTAAAGGTAGATCTCTTGATGACCCAGTAGTACTATGAATGAGGTGGTCAAAATCACAAATACATGTGGAGTAAAGAAATTGCTGTCCAGGAAAGCTTGTCCTGAATATGACCAGGACAAGGTTCCACTGGATTCCAATGGCATATATCAGCAATGAAAAATGTGGTACCTTATACTTTAATACTACACAATACATTATTAAATGTATTGTATTTAAGGAACGTTTTTTCAAGTTCACATTTTTCTACTATGTTTAATCCCTGGAATCCTACGTGATTTATTTAAGAGTAAAAAGAGTTTCTAAAGCATAACAAGTTGAAGAAGTACTTACTCCTACTGTTTTCTGAAGTCCATATAAATTATGTTAAATATATAATCAAATTATTACCATATTTTTAATTGGACAATGTTGGTTTACAACACAATCTATGACTGAGGAGTACAGGTTCTCACCTCTTCAAATGTGTGTTGCCACACCCAATCTTCAGCATCATCATCTTCACTCTGTTTTTTTTTGTGCACCCACCCCTCTTTGCTTTCAAACCTCTGGAAGCTTCATTGTGGTGATACTTGTAGGGTTTGTTTTGATCTCATTGTGCTTTTTATTTATGACACATGTTAGTGAAATTACTGGTATTTGTCTTTCTCCTTATTTACTTCACTTACCATGTCCCTTTGACTGTAACAGAGAGCTCTGGTACACAGTTGGCGTTTGACATAAATGACAGAACTAGTCACTTTCCCACTCATTTCTGTCTTTTTCGGCTTAAAACAAGGAGGTTTTACATTTTCATTGAGTAACACTGGGAATGGCAGGAAATATGGATGATGTAATGTGTAAGCTTTTCTCCTGCCGATCTGTCTTTTGTCTGCCAAAATTTAATTCTCAGGCCAGCTACACGGAAGTCTATGAGGATAAAGGTGAGGTTTGCCTCTTCAACTTAGTCTGGTTGTGAAGATACTTTCTGGAGATGAATATCCAGACCTCCAGATAGGATCAAGAGAGCACATGCCCCCTCAGGACACAGGAGCTAACAGAACACCTAACCTGTTCACTCACTAGAGAGGAGCCTATCAGGTTTCGGGCTATTGTAGGGGAAAACACAGGAAAAACAGACAATATGCATCAACTCAGAGCACAACAACAACAAATCAAAACTATGTGAGAAAAGATATTTAATCACAATGTCCATATGGTTTAGGTATGAACACTAAGCTTGTCATTGTTATAATACAATTTGTGATTTCTTTCAAATTACTATATAGTGAAGCTAAGACATTTTGGTATAGGTGAGTGTTCATGCATGCATGTGTATGTGTGTGTGTGTGTGTGTGTTAGAAAGAAGGAAAACTATGCAAAATAAATCTAAAATTTTCTCTAGTAAGCTCTGCAAGAGGAGGCAATAAATGATAAAATGTCAGAACAGCTGCTGATATCCAGTCCCTCAGGAAATCCTGTACTCTGAGCCTCAAAGTATGTCCACAATTTTATCACTGTTGTCATTAATACCCTGAGTGCTCTGAGTCTTCTTCACTTCTCATCCAGATCACAATTTCAGTGTCCATTTAATCACTTCACTCCTACCCACCCAGGAAATTCTAAATACAACAATACACAGCAGATCAAATCACTCATTATCTGCTAAGGACCTGATCTGAGCATCAGTTTTAGGCAGTGCCAAAGCCCAGCTCTCACAGTGACCCCTGGGCCCTGTGACACTCCCCTCCCCTTCCTCCTCTGCAACATCTGCCCTTGACTCACTTGGCTCAACACTCCTCACCACCCGTGGTTATTCAGATACACAGAAGACCCTGCTCTAAGGCCTCTGCTGTCCTCTGGGAGGTTTTATCCCAGACACTGCTTAGTTTACAAATGCTCCCCCTTCAGGCCTGGAGGGAAGCAGGATACCAGCTGCTGGTATTTCCTTGAATCTATGTGGAACTCCAGTGGAGTCTCAAGCAACATAAGCTTGGAATGACTGGGTTCACCCATGTGATTTTCTTGTAAATAAATGAGGTTACAGTATCAAAGAATACAATATTGGACAGTGAATGTATACTGTATTTTTATGACAGTCTATTATTTCTATTCAAATATTTCTTTAACTTATGTTATTGTAATACTTTAGTATATCATATAAAATATACCAAAGAAGTGCGAATTCCCTATTTATCAGTAATACTTCAGATTTACTATTAGCAGTTAAGTGTTTGTATAAAATGTTATCACAGATTTTCAACTTGTGGGGTTCACTGTTTCTAAGCCTCACATCATTAAAAGGTTCATTGCACTTGACATAAATTTATTTCCATATATGATGTTGCAGAATGAATTTTAAATTGAAGTTGAAAAATAAGGCACTCTATATTAATGAAAAACTGATTAAGGTAAATAAGCATTTTTTTAATATTAAATCTTTTATTTTTGTTTCTTAGGAATTTATTCCTTTAGTTGAACAACCTCTACATACAATCAACATATGGTTTAAAATATTTTTTTCTCAAACAGTGACAAATTTAGGTCTGAAAAGGTTTAATGACTATCATA